CACCCCAGTTCCCCCCTTGCCCTGCCTGCAGCTGGCTCCCCTGGGGAGCAGCCCTGGCCTGAGGCCTCCACACCTGCCCCCCTGGGCTACCCTTGGAGCAAGTCAAGCCCAAGCTGCTGGGAGAGATGCCCCACACCAGGGAGCAGAGCTGGGCTGGCTGTAGAGAGGGCCTGTGTGGGCCGCACCCCTGCCTGGCCAAGTGGGCATCTGCCCTCCCCTTCACTGGGTGCTGCCACGGGGGAACCCCCATTTCTGCTTTTACACAGAGGGCAGGCAGCCAGCTCAGCTTCTACCTTGGCAGTGACTGACTGACTGGCCAGCTCTCAGGTCCAAGGGCTGGGTGGACCCGGCTGAGGGTTCAGGTCTGTCTTGGAACTTTCGAGAGTCACCAGGGCCACAGACGGCCCATCGCTCAGGGCCTTGCCAGGAGGTTCCAGGGTCCAGCCTCCATGTTCATGCAACCCATAGTGAAGGCTGCAGTTACCGACATGGGTGATTCCATAGCATGCCCTCAAGGACCAGAGCTGAGAGCAGAGGCCCCAGAGAGGGGCTGTGCACATGGACAAAACAACAGATCACAGGGGCAAATGGGTGCCCCACCAGGGTTTCTGCCTTTTGTCACCAGGTGCCTCTGTTCTGGGGGGCAGAGGTCAGGCAGGAGCACGCAGGGGCAGGCAGGCCTTGGGGCCTGAGGAACTGGGGAATCCATGCCCTGTTTAAGGCGGGGCAGCCACTTCTCAGTCCCAGCCACCTGGGGTCAAGAGAGAAAGGTGGGCCCTGAGCGCCTAGTGCTTCCAATTTCCCAAAAGAAGAAATCTGTATTTTTAAGTAAGACTTCTCTGATTTTTAAATATTGGTAAGTAATTCAACCTAAATACAATTTTGAAAAACAACGTGAGCCAGAAAAAACCTCTGCAGGCTGGGCTGTGTCCCCTGGGCAATGTTAAATGTGAGAAAATAAACAAACAAAACCCACATGACATAGGCTGTCCAGGCACCTCTGTGACTGGCTTTCTCCTCTGGTTGTCTGTCCTGGAGAGCTGCGGAGCCAGCACACACAAATGTCTTCCTTTTAATGATAGCTGCTTGATTTCCACTTGTTGGATAAACCAAGATTTGGGTGGACATTTAGGTTGTTCCCAACTTTTTTGCCATTACCTAGTCTCATCTTGTATCCATGCTTGAATATCTGCCAGTGCTTCTGGAGCAGCTCCTAGAAGTGGGCCTTGTGCATCAAGTGTGCACACATCTTTAACTGTAATAGAAACTCCAGAGATGCCAACTTCTGTACTGACCTTGAGTGTATGATAGAGCTTATTTCTCCTGGATATTAACAGTGCTTTAACTTATTAATCTCATGAGTAAAATAATACTATTTTCATTTGCATATCTCTAATTTCTGGAGAGTAAAGCACCTTTTCATGATTAGCAAAACATAATTAGATGTTTATGTTTTGCTCAGTTATATTTTCTTCTTTCAGGGAACTGACAACGTTTCCAAGGGCACGAACAGTCCAGTTTGCCTCCAGAATTCTAGGCCGAAGGACCCTGTCCACACGGTGGAACGGAGACCCTGCTGTGGAGCTGGCATGGACTTCCCTCTGGGTTGTGTGGCCAGGCCATGAAGGCCCCCATAGCAGCTGCCACAGGGTGAGAGTTTCACATTCGTTCTGGTGGGTGCAAGGTCACACACCACTCTCTTCCAGGAAGGGAGTACCTGACACCCACGGCAATATTGTCAGCCAATCAGTTTACCCACAAGTGACTGAAAAGGCCCAGGGGTCAGGGGCTGGGTCATCATGGCATGGACCTGGTGCCCACAGTGCCATCTGCAGGAATGTCCACACTGCTCCAGTTCCTTCCCTCCTTCTGGACAAACAATGTTCTGCCTGGTTGAGTATTTTGGTAAATGTTTCTGCAGTGGATGGGCACGCGGCCAGCAGAGGCTAGCCCCTCCCTGCCCGGCACAAGAATGTGGTGTCCTCCGGGCAGCTACTGGAGGGTCCCAGGCTGTGGTGCAGCACCGACAGCTGGACGCCCAGAGGGGCAGCCGGAGATGGCGCAGTGAGGCCAGTGCAGCCTCCCTCTCTGGAGGCTCCTGCCTCTCTCTCCTGGCGGTTTTGGATTTCTCCAGGTTTCCTCATGAGGAGAGTGCTGTGCGATGCAAAAGGTGGGGAGGCGCCTGGAACTGTTCTCCTACCCGGGAGCTGGCATTGCCAGCAGGGCGCCTCTGCCCCCTCTGGGGGACAACAGTGCATTTGTAGGACATTTATCCCGAGTTAGGAAATCATGTGAAGGCCTTGAGCTGGGTAGAAACCGAACCCCTGACCCCAGCCTCAGTAGTAGGGTCACCTCACCGCAGCCAAGCTATTTCTGGAGGGAGGCTGATAATTTTTGTTTTCTGGAAGGCTTCTGATGACCAAGTGTGATGTTTAATTTTGTGTGTCAACTTAACTGGGCCAAAGAGTGCCCAGATATTTTGTCAAACATTATTCTGGATATTTCTGTGTGGATGCTTTGTGGATGAGGTTCAACACTTAAATCAGTAGTCAGAGAAAAGGAGAATGCCCTCTCCACTCTGGGTGGGCCGCATCTAATCCGTTGAAGGCCTGAATAGAACCAAGGGGCTCTGTCTCCTGTGAATAAGAGGGACTTCTTCCTGCCTGATGGCCTTCCCCCTGGGACACCACTCTTTCTGGTTCTATAGCAGCCTGCCAGTCTCTGGACCCAGACAAGGACTTAGACTCTGCAGATTTTGGACAGAGCCTCCACAACTATGTGAGCCAGTTCCTTATAGTCAATATAGATAAAGTTATAGATATACATCTGTATCTTACTAATTCTGTTTCTCTGGGAAACCCTAATACAGCAAGTGATACCCTATCAGAGAAGTCCTTGAGTTTTACGTGTGGGAGTCTTGGGAGATGGAGAAGAGGACAGAGCAGGTATGTGGGGACTGGCAAGAGGCCCTGGTGCACAGTGAGGGACCAGCCCTTGCTGGTTACAGGCTTCTGCTTACTCTGCCATGGGAAGGAGCTGGCAGCCACAGGTAGAATTCAAGTCTACCAGGGAGCCCTGGCTTTGCCCAGGAAACCCATACCAACGCCTTGGGGACCCTGAACTCAGCAGCTGGAACTCTCTCTGTGTTGCGCATACATCTAGGAAAGAGACAGCGAGGGGGACTGAAGAGCCAACCCTCTGGGCAGTAAGACGCTGGACGGGCGACAGGCCCCTGATGACACACATTCCCACTACCGACTAACAGCCCATCCACATGGAGGATCCTGCTCAGTTCCAGTGAGGTCATCTCTTTTGCACAGCAGTGCCAAGAAGGAGGTACCACTGTGACCTCCATCTAGCAAGTGGGGATTCCGAGGCACAAAAGATGCAGTAATCCCTCAAGGTCACATGCAGGTCAGTGGCGGAGTCCAAACTGGACATGGCCGTGCAGTCCCAGAACATGCCCTCTGGTCGCTTCTCCTTCTCTGTCTCCTTCTCTTACTTTTAACTTTGCACGGCATTTATTTCACTTTATTCAGGTAGAACCTGCATATTGTTCAATGACTGTTAGCAAATGCTCAGAGCCATGTCTCCATCACCACAGTCCAGTTTCAGATTATTTGTGTCAACCCAGTAAAATCCCCATGGCCTGTCCGGGGTCACTCCCTGTCCCACCAGCGCAGCCCCAGTCCACGCTCGCCCCCTCCGGCTGCCTGCCTACTCCTGGCATTTCCGGAAGTGCAGCCACCACCACAGGGTCACCCGTGTGTCTGGCTTCCGTCACTCTGCATGTCTCTGAGGTCTTCCCCATCAGCACAAGCATCTGTGGACTCTTTCCTTTCCTCATAACTTTCAAAATATAAAAAAGGTGTGAGCATAGTGAACCCCTATGTAGCTGCCACCCAACCTTCCTACCAGGACAAGGGCACCTGCGTTCCTCCCCAGCCCCGCCCACCTCCTGCTCCCCACTTGCTCCTTTTCAAGTCACCCCTAGACATCACATCCTTTGGTTCATAAATTCTTCTCCAAGCCTCTCTAAAAGGTAAGGATTTTAAAAAATACATATATATAAATCTAACCACTACACCAGTATCTTGCCTAAAATCATTAATCATAATTTCTTAATCTCATCAGCTGTTGGTGCTTCAGCAACCCCTCCTGAGTCACCAGTGTTTGATCAGGGCTGGTTTCAAGGGGCTCCGCACAGTGGGGTCAGGGTTGCTGGCCTTCTGCTCTCCTGGCCGGGAGGCTGACACCAGCTCTCAGCATGGGGGTCTGTCTGCTGCCTCCTGAATGCTAAGCTTTGCTCCCGTCCAACACCAACCTACCAGCTTTTTGAGCCAGCCTGTTTTTATAGGTGTGAAATGTTAGCAGCATATGAAAAAAAGTCAGTCACACCTTCCCTCCCTGACCTTCGTGGCTTTGCCACCCCGGGAGCGCATGAGGGGGGGCAGCAGGAGGTGGGCACTGAGGGCAGGTGGGGCCCAGGCGGCTGGTCCTTACCTGAGGTCGGGGAGGTCCAGTTGCTCGGCGCTGTGGCAGTCTCGTTGGCCTTGAGCGCCTTGGCGAGTGGCAGGCTAGCGCCTGCCAGCAGAAGTGGACAGAAGGGCTCCATGGTGAGCCTGCAAGAGGCAGGGACAGGCTCAGAGGACTCGCCCCCACACCTCGGCGGGCTGGCCCTCCACCAGTGTGGAGGGAGGGGGAAAACCGGAGCACCTGGCGGGCGCTGTCTGTCCATCTGAGTTAGGGGGAGCATCTCTGCTCCACTTGCTGGCACACTTTATACCTGCGCTTGGAAATACTTTCACCTCAGCACAAGCCAGGTCAGGAACCCCAGGTTATAATGTCTCCCGCCGCTCAGGTTAACTTCCTGCTTTGTTTGTTTTTAGGAAGAGAGGCGGCAAACAAGGATGTGGAGGTGCCCTAGGAAGACAAATTCTGAAAGCATCCGGAGACCTAGACGTGTGAGCAGCAGCTTCTCAGACCCCCGCCTCCGCTGCTCACCATCACGCCTAGATGGCCACATGATGACAATCTGTCGGACAGTTAGCCCTGCCTTCAGTGACACAGGTGGGCACTTCTTTTGAGCATCTTGACAGTCTAGAGAAGTGTCAGCCCCCCTGAAAAGACTCGATGGCTCAGGATGGAGTTCACTTAATTGGCCCCAGGTCACAGGCTGGGGAGCCGGGAGTGGGGCTCTAGCCCCTCGGCACAGGGTCCACCTCTGCTGTCCCCCTGGTCACAGCCACAGTCCACACCCCTGGCCCTGTCCTGGGTGCAGGCCTTGAGTGCCTCCCACCTGAGCTTCCGGGACAGGTCCCCAATGTGTCCAGCCGAGGCCCTCCCCTTGCCCACACTCTGGTGTCCAGTGAACTAATTTAAAGCCCAGCTCAGCCCTCTCACTCTTGAGGTATTGACAGTGATGAGAGTAAAAGAAGGGCGGGCCCGATGGCTGTGTTCCTGCAGGCCAAGCCTTCGGCCTGGTGCTGTCATGTGTCGCCCGTTCAGTCTTCACCCCAGGGTGCTGGCCCTGCCTGCTTCTGCTCCTGTCTGAGCCTCGGGGGCGGCAGGGGTGCCCCCTCCTCCTGCAGGGGCCTCAGCTAGCTCATCCCTTGCAAGTGCCCAGTCTCCTGGGAACAGAGGGAAGCATCATGGGGTGGGTGGGTGGATGCCCAGATGGCAGTGCAGCTCAACACAGGAAAAGGCTCTTCCACTCAGGAGACCTGCACCTGGTGCCCCATTCTGCCCAAACACCCTAGATCCTCAGGAAATGGGGCCATCACCCCTTGGTGGTGTAGAAACCCCTCCTAGAGGGCTCACTGCAGGTGAAGATGGGTGGCAGTACCTGCCGAGCAGGATCTGGGGATGACAATGCAGACATGTGGTTGAGGTACGGGCTCTCCACCTCCTGCATGCCTCTTTCTGTTTCCATCCTCTGACCCCAGACCATGGTCACCTGGGGTGTCCCCATCCCCACAGACAGCACTTTCCTGCAAGAAGCCTCCCTAGGGGATATGAATGGACTGAGACCAAGAAACACTGGCTCCTTGTAATTAGAGTACACATCTGAAAGCATGGAAAAAATCCTAATCGTTTCTAGCAATCACCACTATTAAAATGAAACCATTATGAGCACATTATAACAATTATCCAAGAAAAACTATAACAGCCACAATCAACACTGTTACTTCTTGCCTCTTTTGTGTCAAAGTGCATTTTAGATTCATAAAGTGAATCATACACACACAATATCTCTCATTCCATGAGCACCTACTATTGCCCTTCATATGGGCACTGCCCTCACTATAACCATCTGGGACTGAGAAACTGAGGCACCTGAGGATAAGGAACTGGCCCAAGTCAGGTCAGAGGAGATGGAGGAGCCAGGATTTGAACCCAGGTTCCCCAGAGACAAAAGTCCTCAAACCCTGATGGGTGGCTCCGTGTATACTGCATTACAAAAAACTATATTGAACACGGCTTACTTTTAATATATTTGAATAAATTGCAGAGTAAATTGATTAGGAAGTATTAATTGGTTCAGTACAATTCAAAGATGCAGAGTTCCTAGTTGAGATATTCTCATCACAAGCATTAATTCAAAAACTCTCCTCTCCAAAGGCTCAATGATCTAAGAGGCCAACACCGTTGAGCCAGACAAGGCCACCTCTTCAGATCCCAGATCTGTGTCTCCTGCACGGACAGGTGATTTACCCGGTATGATCAGACGAGGGCACTCAACTTTGCAGAATTCAAACCCTGCCAGCTGGAGCCCTTTATTGCAGCATTTAACATTTCCAGCCAAGGACAACTTGCCAGTTCCTGACCACTCCCCCTCAAAGGGTTTGCACAAGCTACCTGATAAGCACTGACACAAATAAGTACAAAACTCATGCTTGAAATAGTAATTAAATCCATGTTAAACCTTAACGATTTGCATTTAATCGGCGTTTGTTGTGTGCTTATCAAATGTGAAGTGCCGTGGAGCGTTAAACACGTCGGATCTCCAGAACTGAGATGAGCAAAATAGTTTATTTCCAACAAGCATTTGTTTTCACTCCCATTACTAGTCAGCCAACTATCAATTTGATTAGATATTGATTTTTACTTCATTGCATGACTTTTTAATACTCTTCATTGAGCAGCTACTCTAGGGCAGGCAGCCTGCTAGGTCACAGAGGTGGAGAGGTGAATACAAGCCTGCCGCTGCCCTAAAGCAGCTCGGCTGAGTTGGGAGGGCAGCAGCATGGTGCCAAGCTGAAGGAGGCCACCGCATGCAGGGATAAGTACCAGGGGCCAGGCAGGGGGCTGAGGAGGGCAGCTGGGAGCGGGACAGGAGGACAGGAGGCAGGTGGATGAGAAGATGCTGCACAGGCTTCTCCAGGGTTGCATCTTTGAGGTCAGCGGCGCTCAGATCTGACTGATGGTGGCGCATGTCCCCATCGGCCAGAATCACACCCACAGGCTTTCTCCACAGGCCTGGTCCCCCACCACTCAGAAGAGACTTGTTTCATCAGAGGCCACCAGGAAGGTCGGCGTGGAAGGCAGAACCCCAGCCAAAGCACCTGAGCAGGAAACAGCAGGACCCCCTCGGTGAGGCAGTCACCTGCCCTCAGGGCTAGCAGGGGTGGGTGAAAGGCCTCAGTCAAGGTTGGAAACGCATGGTCCTTCCACCGTCTCTTACTGAGAAGCAGGCGCCCATCCCTGAGGCTGAGTCCTTCACTGAGCCTCTGCTCAGAAGAGTGAAGGATGATTCGAAGCTGGCCAACCCCTCGGGCCAGGTGGCAACCCTCTTGTGGGCTGCTTCCCAATTAGTGAAGCAAGAGGGTCCAGTGAGATAATAAATGCGAGCAACCTTGTTAATTAGCTCCTCTCCAGGCTGCTTATTAGAACTCCTCAGCTGCCTACTGGGCAGATCACCAGCCGTGTTGCCCAGGAGCTTTAGCCCAGTGGGCATATACTGAGGGGCCCGCTCCCTGTCACTTCCTTCTGGAAGCAGCCAGAGCTGTGGCGACGCCCCGGAGAGCATCTGCAGTTTCCAGAATTGAGCCGCAGTACCGGAGCCCAGGCCCTCTCTCTGGGGTCCAGGCTGAGGTCATCTGTGCCCATGTCTGCTGTGCCGTGTCTTCGGGGGAGGCTGGGACCTCCTCTGGCCTGGGGGGACATGAGTGTTCTCTCTCCCTTGCAGAAAAACTGCCAACAATTTTCAGAAACAGCTTGGACAGACCTGACTATTTTGGGGCAGGCGCACAGGAGCCACCAATGAGGGCATTTGGGTGCCCAGACACTAGCGGCCTGATAAGTGCCCATGTCACATGTGCCCAGGAGAGCCCAGCCCCAGCCTCGAGGGGCCTTACATCAGCCTGTGTTCAGCGTCCAAGCTCAGCCCCAACCGGGCACACACTGTCCTCCTCATCCTCTGCTTTGGTGACTTGTTGTTCTGCTGGAACATGTGTGTGAGTCAATATGTTTTTCTCTATTCAGAAATAGACTGAGGCCTCTGTTGGGATCTGGCATTGTCAGGAGAGGGGACGCCTGGACTGAGCAGTGCGCCACCCACAGGAAAGTGCGCCCAGCATCTCTGGGCATCGAGACCTTGGGGCTCTGTCGGTGTCCTTCTCATTGACCAGGACCAGGGTCAGGGACAGCGCCCTGGGGTGGCCAGTGGCCACCTGAGGGGGTTGGTCATGGGGCCTGTTTCCAGATGTCCTGTGGGCCCACTGACGAGAAGAGTTGCTGGATGCCCACGCCAGGTGGGGCTCACGGCAGACACACAGTCAGGGCTGGCGGCCAGTGATGTCCCCCATCCCCACGGCCCCCCTGCGTGCTGGGGAAAGGCAGCAGCTTGAAGAACTGCCCGGTTCCCCGGCTGAGTGAGTCTCCAAGAACGAGGTGGCGGCATCCGGGCTGTTCTCCCTCCGGTTCAGGCACCAAGTCCCCAGGCAGGTTCAGCAAGGGGCATCTCGTGACCACTCCAAGTGACTGCACAGAGCCCAGCCAGGCTCAGTGTGAGCAACCCAGGAGACAAGGATGAGAATGGCCTGGGTCTGTCTTCTGCTTCCACAGAATTTGCCATCAGGAGAGTGAAGAGCCTTGTAGGTAAATGACCCCAGGACAGGGGCCTGGATGGAGCCCTGTAGTTAAATGAGCCCAGCGTGGGGCTCAGAGGCCAAAAGGGGATAGGGAAATGGAAGTAAATCCCGGGGATAGCTGACAGGGCAGAGAGGCAGCCTCCAGGGCGAGTGGGCAGGAAGGGCAGCCTGGAGGAGCAGCAGAGACAGGAGGGCGGGTCAGTGTGGGGCGGCCAGGCCTGGGCTGCAGCAGGATGGGCGGCCCGGGCACAGTGCGGCTGCAGGCCCCGTGGAGGGCTTCCTCCCCGGGGCAGATCCCTCCCCTCCTGGCTGGCTCTGCTGCTCTGCGAAGGAAGCTGACAGCCAGGAGCCCTGCCTTTCTGGCCCCCATGCCCCAGCGTGTCACCCAGCCCTGCTGGGCGCTGAGACCCCAGGAACGGGGTGGCCACCCTGACGCTGGGCTCTGAGGGTGAGCTTCCTTCAGTGGGCAGGGGCTGGTGGCCCTCTGAAACCTGTCCACAGTGAGATCAGAGGCAGGGCAAAGCACACTGCAGTCCCCTCAGTCTTTCCTGGGGAAATGCCATAGTGACCTTCAGGGACAGCGGGAGAAAAAGACTGCAGCCACCCTGTGGATACAGTGAAGGTTCCTGTGCCCAGGATTCGCACCTGCCCTGGCCGGCTAGCTCACTACACACCCGTGGGCAATACGCTGTTATTGACTTTATGGAAAGAGCTCCGCCCAGTGCTCTGGGCTGCACGGCTGCAGGGGAGCAGAGGCTGGAGTGGAGGCAGCACTGAGGATGGAGACTGAGAGGCTGCGGGGCAGGGAGGCCTGGAGGCAGAGACCGGCCTGCTGCGTGCGGACTCGCTCCGAGTGGACAGGATTCTTGTGCTTCGCCTGCCACTGGGAGAAAAAGTTGGGTATAAACCCTTTCACCCCAAGGATGTTCCACTGTCATTTTTCAGTCTCACTGGATCCATAGTGAGCGTGCCTGGGACTAAAATCCACTGGCAGGACGAACTCACTGTAGGAGTCCAGGATGCATACCACAGTGTCCTGGGCTCTCTGCCCGGGTCTCCAGAGCCCAGGGAGGCTCCCAAGGCCTTGGGCAAGGCTGGAACCACTGCTGACTGCCCGGCTCACTCTGCCTGGGGAGCAGGGAGGTGCTCAGGGGACCCACACCCCCCATACCGTGCCTCCCGGCCTCTTTGTTTCTGCCTAGACTACAAGGCGGTGGCTCCCAGGGCCGTGGTCTGCTGTCAGCTCAGGTCTGCCTGCCCAGTGGGGCAACATCTGGTCCAGAGTGGGTCTCTCTCTGTGCCAGCTTAGCCAGGCCTTTTCAATAGAGGGCAAGCAAAAAGAGGAAGGTCAACCATTGCCCCGTTGCAGGGGCCTCAAGCTGCTTTATGGACCCACCTGTGCACCAACACATGACGTGAGTGTGGACACGGACACTGCCATGACACGTCTACAGTGACCCCACTGCCCGCGTTTCAGGGACCTCACGCCCCTTCTGCCCCCACACTCCCCGCCAGCAAGCAAAGTGAGGGGCCTCAGACACCCTCCAGCCCGGAGGCAGCTGAGAATGGACAGTGGCCAGAGGGGTCCCTGCAGGCACAGGAGCGTCCTCAGCCAGGCAACACGCTGGAAGGATGACACCAGTTTCCGGAAATAACAGTAAAAATACAAGTCCTACACATTGGACCAGCCAAGCCCCTCCCAGCTGCCCCCGAACCCTCTCCTGATGAACCCCCCTGGGAGGCAGGGGCTACTATGAGCCTTCGGGCATTTATCACCAAGCCTGTTCTCCATAAAATCAGGAGAAAATTTCCCACAGGCAAGATTATTCTTTTTTTATGCATTCGGCAAGAATGCAAAAGAACAAAGATGTGTTTCCATCGTAAAGGAGAAACAAATCTAGTCCTTTTTCAAGCTTCAGGTGTGAATACCCTTACATGGATGAAAGACTTAATAAAAACCCCTTAAGCAGTGAAATGTGCTGACTCAGCGTGTCTCTGCCGCATCCACAGTGACCCTTCCTATTCAGAGAAGGTTTTGATTGTTAAAAGGAAAATGATGTAAAGGGTACCTTTTATCTGAGTTGGTGAAGATTGGAACTTAATTGCTTTTGAACAAAGGTAACTGCACGTATCTAAAAATAAAGCCATTGAAACATTAAAAGGAGACTGGTAAAGAGGTCCATATGTTAGGGGAGAAAAAGGTGAAAAAAGACAAAAAAGAAATGGCAGGGCACTGGGTGGCATCCCTGGCCTGGCTGACTGCCACTGGACAGGGGCCTCCCCGGCCCATGGTATCCTCCAGGGTCCCCGCGTCTGACCCTCTGATGGCCATTCAGAGAAGTGGGGGCTCCGACAGAGGAGACAGGGGGTCAGAGAGAGTGAGGTGGCCCCATCCCCGGCCCCAGCTGCAGCAGAGCATGCTGGCTCCTTCTGCAGCCTGGGGCCCATCGGGCCACAGGGCTGACCCTTGTGCACACACGCCCTCTACACAATCCATTTGGGGTTCCCTGGGATACACAGAAGAACTCTTGGGGTTCAGGAAGCTGAATTCCAAGCATACCCTGGCAGTGCTGGGTGACCAGTATAAGGAAGCCAGCAACACACATTTGCCCCCCCGCACCCCCATACACACAGGCTAGGTGTGTCCAGAGACGTCTGGGTCCCTGGAGAATACATAGACCGCCCTGGGGATGGGGGTGAGAGACTTCCTCTCTCATTATACAAGTGCCAGGACGCCAGGGGGGAGCTGGGGAGGTGGAGCCCCAGGTTCCCCGCAGCAGCAGCCAGCCACCGCATGGAAAGGTCTCAGCTAAGAGCCATGGAGGCGACATGCTCTCAGGTCTTAGCAGACACCGTATTTCGAGGCCGACATCCCTCACTCCTCATGCCCCATGTCCCTTGAGGAACTTTAGATATCGCACCCCCAGGCCTTGGGACTGCCCGGTGCCAGTCACACTGAAACCGGGGCAGCAACATCAATACAGACACAACTTAGAGCCAGCCCTCGGCTCCAGTCCCTCTTCTTGGTTAGAAATCATAGGTGAAAAAAATGTAACAACTTTCCCAGTGACTACATTTTTGTTTTGCACTTTCTCTCTCATTATACAAGTACCAAGTAACCGGTTTTTATTAAAGGAAGAAACGAGGAGATGGAAATGATTTTCACAAGTCGGAGCTGACTGAGTTATACTTAAGTCACTGGGCACAATGGAGCAGAGATTGACTAAGAGCATTTCCTATCATAAAATGTCCCAACAGGTCTTGGAACACAAGGGCCTGAATAAAATTATTTTCCAACAGGCGGCGCGCCCTGGGTTCCGTCCCCTGCTGCACACCTGGCCACCAGCCCTTGCACAGGTGAGCTGTTTCCCCTCAGTGGACAGAGGGCTCAGTGTGTCCTGGGGTCGGTGGAATGCCTACCCCCCAAGGAGAGGGCAAGGGGGGTCTTTTGGTTCTAGATTTTGTTTTTCCTCAACGTGGGAAGTATGAACAAGTAAAGTGCGATTATCGGCCCTCCTCTGAGTTCACCAAGGGCTCCTGGGCCCTTTCCTGCCTCTTGGCGAATCCCCAAGACGAGCCCTCTAAGAGGATGAAGCTCACAGAGAGGCCCACGCGTTTTTTGGGGAGGTGGGCACCCTCACGGTGTGGGGACGGGGGCCACGTGAGGTGGCCACAGCATCATGGGCAGGACAGTATTTTTAAAAGTTCAAGGCCGTTAGCTCTCATCTTATTAGGAAAATTGGCTCTTCAGTAGAGCTATTCCTCTGTGTTTTAATTGGGAGAAATAAATAAAATCAGCTCACGAAATAGCATCTGACAATGTATTTTGCCAGTTAAATGATGAAGTGATATTTTTAGGAGACAAAGGCAGCCTTTAGTGGGTGCAGGGGCCATCTCTGCTCTCTGCTCCTGGAGATTTGGCTGCGGGTCACTGAGGTCCACAGGGACAAGTGGCTCTCTGGGAATCTGGGAGCTTTCACAGCAGAACTGAGTTTTCTTTCAAACATTTCAGGCTTGGTTTGAGGACTTGTTGAAGTAAAAGTAAAGTGTCAACAAGGAATCATTTCTGTTTAGCAAGGTCAGCAGGAGTTGACATTGTGCTTGGACGTGGATCTTTGCCCACTCGATTCCTTTTCCTGACAAGTAGGTAATTTGTCCTCATGATGAGGCATTGAATTTTGCATTTTCTCTCGTCCTGGGTCCTGCTCTTCTTCTCCTGTGTACATGAGGCTGTGGGGCTCGAACAAGACAAGGTGTATGGGAGCTGTCTGTAAGCCGGCACTGCAAGCCCAGGGATCCCCAGGGTGAGGCCCCGCGGAGACGCCTGGGTCTTACTGAAAGTGCAGGAACGGGGTGAAGATACAGCCTGCACTCAGGCTGACCCTGCCTCTTCGGTTTAGTCCTGCAAACTGAGTTTCACATGATTTAGTCTTTCCACTCAAGAACAAAGTGGTCTGTTGAGTGAATGGCTAACTTTTGGAACAGAGGGCATAAAATAAGGGAGATACCAGGCCTTAGGGCCAACCTCTCACTGGTTTCTTGGAAATTCAAGCGATGAGATTGGAAAAAAATTACAACGTGGGCAGCTATGATCATGTGTCTCAGTTCACTGGTCTGTAAAGTGGGGCAGTCAGATCTATTGCTACTCGATCCTCAGCTGGTCACCTGCTGAATCTGCCTCCTTCATGCAAGGCTCAGAATCTGGGTTTGGTGTTTCCCTGAACAAAGGAAGGAGCAAAGGGTCCCCACTGGGGCTCCACCGACTCTGCCCCCTGATGAGGGTGCAGTAACAGAGCAGCAAGTGGCAGTAAAAGACTTCAGGAAATCCACTGTGTCTGAGTAAAAGGTCCTTTAGAATTCACTCCAATGCTTTATTATATAAACACTGCTAAAGACTTGTAAACACACTTGTGGATTATGAGCTGAAACTGATTTCATCAAAGAATTAAAAAAAGATCACAAGAATAATTTAAAGCCCCAGTGTACCCCAACCTCTGATGTACTGGTCCACATTGGGCTTCTTGCCTGCACCTACCGAGCAGGGCCTGCTGCTTGGGGCCTGGCTCAGCCTAGGCGAGGGGCCCTCCGGAGGACCCGGCAGCACTCTACTGGGGCTGTTAGCAAGGACCCCTGAGAATCCAGCATGTTGGCAAGTCTGTCCCGGAATAATTTCAGCTTCAATTTCCTCTGGACCACGCACTAATTTGCATAATTCCAATTATACGCCTTGCCCTCTTGAAGATGAATAAAATGTGAAGAGCTTATTCTGTAAGAATGAAGTGTTTCTCCTTTGCCATAAAGACAACAGAGCCACAGAAAGGTACAAGGAAGCTTTTCAAAAGCGTATTTTTGCTGACCCTCGAGCCATACTTGAATTCGTTTCAAGCCCCCTGAGCAACCGCCTATCAGAGAACGTGAAACAGCGTGTTGCTATAGCGGGGGTCCAAATAAAACAGAAATGGACTACAGCTGGACTTGTTGGAAAAATTTTTGTCCTAAGAAAGAAAACCCCTCTTTTAATTTGAAAGGACAGAGGAAGGAAAACCCTTGAAAACCTGAAATGGTAATTCTTCATTTCTGGTGGCTTCACACGGAGCCAGACATTGTTTTGTTATCTAATCTCAAATATTGCCAACAGTATCTCACAACCAATTGTTCATGAGCTTCTAAACTTACCAATAATTAATTCTGGCTGATTGTCATTTCACATAAGATATAACAACATCATTGAATTCTGTATTCATTGAAAATTACCTCCCAGGCAGTGACAAGACAGCTGTGTTTGGGATGGTCTGTGGGTCTTAGCAAAATCAAACTACTACAGAACAGACGATGATCCAGAAAAAAAGGCCTGCGAGACAGCAAGTTAACCTCTACAGATGAAAGTAAATGGCAAGTAGTAGATCCGAAGGACCTGTCCTCAATACTTTCCAGTTTTGTTATGTTTTCAATCCGAAAGTGCCACGGCCCTCATGGAGGCCACTATCGATTTATTTGCAGCAAATTTGAATGGTGACCTTTACTCCCTGGGAAAGGCACTCAGATTATTTTTCAATCCCATCATATCATATTTTAATACTAACAGGGGCATTCAGATGCTAGAGCCTGCCGAAGTACTAGAATTTGGAGGGGGCTCTGGAGCCACGGTGGCTCATGCCCCTCAGCTGCCCTCCCCTGGCCTTTGACCACACGGCTCTGCTGGGCAGAGGCGGCCTCACCCTCCTGCAATTTGGCATCCCCCCCCACTGCCAGGGCCCTGGAAGCCTTGCTTTCTCTGTGTCATCCCCCGGGCTTGGAGGTCTCAACAGAGGCCTATAGCTGGTGGTCTCTGCCCCTCCTTCGGAACTTGAATGTGAGGCCGGGGCCGTCTCCTGGTCCTGCGTGTCCTGGAGGGGTAGAGTCTGCATCAGCACCTGGCGAAGTTGTAGGAGGGCTGTCAGGAGAAAATGTGGGGGAAGACAGGCCTCTGACTTGGGGGACAGCCTGGGCTGGGGAAGGACAGTCCCCACACACCGTCTCCTGCATGGCCACCTCCTTTCCTGGGCCTGCATTTCACTAAAAGCCCAAACAGTGTCCAGCGGGCTGAGGACAGGAGGCCATCTGCACAAAGCCTGGGGCAGTCCCGCTACCCTATTTTCCCTCTTGGGTCCTGCCTGAGAAGAGCACCTGCAGGAAGCAGGTGTGCCCTGAGGAGTACAGGTGTTGGTGATGGAGGGGCTGTGCTGTAAGCGCGCGTGTCAGAGCTTCTCAGAGTATCAGAACATGGTCAGAACATGTTCGAGGTGGTGATGAGGTGAAGGCCATTTCCTCTACCTTCCATCTGACTTTCATCCGGGCTGTGTCTGTAAATCGATCTGTGATGTCCTTCATAGGATCCATAAATAAATCAAAGCTTCCATACCTGCCTCCAGGGCAGATTCTGAGCTGGGACCATAAACCAAAGTCTTCTATCTAAATGGTGAGCCATTCTTGCTGCAACCTTGGGTTAACTGTTCAGCAAATACGCCAATCACCTGGGCATACAGCTCTATCAATGATCAATAACTAAATGCACATTCTAGAATTGTTCCTGAAAATTGAG